GCCATAGGATCTGAGCAATATGGGATATCTTCTCTATCAACCTCAAATCCACAACATGGGCAAGTTTCAACTAAAAGTTATTTAATTATCAATTACCTGTTTATGTTTTAGTTGGATCTTTATTCTTCTCTTTTGCTGTCCTTCTTGATAATGCATGTTTTCTTGCTATATCCCAATTACAAGGCATCTAAAGAGGGTTATAATGACCTTCATGATGATTATTTCCAGAATGATTTTGACCATGTGAAGTATCATGATGCCCAACATTTTGACTATTTGTATTATGATGTTCGCGAGACAAATCATTTTGAGAAAATTAATGAGAACTTTTATCTTTAGGTGCCTTATTAATATAGTCTCTAAATTACTTATATATATCTTCCTATCTGATGATTCGATTGTTATTGTTACTATTTAAATAATACTTAAATTTACTTTTTAAAGACCGGATTAATTGTATTCACCTTAAATTAAGTAATTTTCTCTTATATTTTAGTAGTTCGGAGGTTAATTTTAGTGTTGAGCCTAGTAACTCATTTATTTTTTAAATTTATTTTTATTGTTTAAGCTTCATTAAACTATAAATATTTCCAATCAATTTATTTGCTTAATTATTCAAATCTAAGAATTAAAAATATATAATATAGATAAATTCAAATCTAAAGATTCAATACATTTCTTAAATTTCCTAAGATTCTTATTGTTAGATTCTTTTGGATAATGTTTCAACTCCTCGAAATGTAAAAGCAAGGTTTTCAAGGGTATGAAATATTGGTAATTTATTTTTTTACATAAATTAATAGCCTTATTTTATTCTTTCTTCCAACAACAGTATTTAAGCTTTTAAAGAATAAATCCAAAAAATCATTAATAAAACTATATAATATAATTATAATAAATTACTTCCAAATAGAAATAGTATTGAAAAAATAATAACTAAAACTTCATTCATTTGATCCTCCAAAGAAGTCTAAAATTCTATTGTGAATTTTAAACTCACTTACTTTGATTTATCTATATAATTAATTCCATAATCATATATTTATGGACAATCTTCATTGTCATCACAGTAACAAAGTATTTTTGGAGGAGATATAGTGAGTTCTAATTTGATTAATTTAGTATTTGTAATCATATAAATCAATGAAGAATTCACTACAGAGATTTGTTATAATCCCAAAATTTATATATTTTAGATTTCTTAAGAGTTATATAGATATATCTTATGATTATTCTTACATTATATAAACATTGTATCACCAATATTAATTAGTTTTTCTATTTTCTATTCTTGCTATAAGATTTCTTAAATGGATATACTACTATCAATAAAGCTAATTTTAAAATTCAAAATTTTATACACATGATTATAATATAATCCAAAACAGCTATTGTATTCATTACAAAAAAATGATTTAGGATTCTTAGTAGGATATATTTCATTATAAATTACTTTAGAATTGATATTATTGTATCTCAAAACCATCTTAAAAACAGTTAATCCATAATGTTTATCCATTATATAAAAATAATATTTCTTATCATCAATTTTTTTTATATCATAATCAATAATATTTTAAAATTTAGTTATATCTATTTATCCAAAATATTTGTTAGTATTATTTTATAAATCATAAACATAAATGGATTTATTAACAACAAATAGAAATCCATCATATACTTTTATATCACCATGATAGAATGTATTTTAAGTGTCATTTAAAAAGTGATAATCAACTAAAAAGATAGCATTTTCACTTTTTTCATTATAATAACCTTAGAAATAGCTAATATTGCCTTCAATCTTTTTCTAATTTAATATAATTCCATCATGTGTTATTTAAGTTAAGATCATATCATTCATAACTACCCAAATACCAATTTATGATGCAAGTAAATAATAGTATTTATTCATACTATCAAGTTCTTATTAGTTCATTAGAGATGATTATTGTAAAACAACCTTTTCATTATTAATCCAACAAAACTCTTAATTACTTTCTCCAGACAGAGATACATTTTTAGCATTATTTAATTCTAACACTGTTTGTAACTACCCTATTTCTACCTTAAATTCATATTAACTCCCTAACACTTCCCAACTTAATATCAATTACAGTAAGAATAATTCAATCATTAATTAATATTTCTAATTCAAAATTTTGATTTCGATTAAAATTCATTATTGTAAAAATACATCATAGACATCGATTTTGTATTATTATAATTATTTAATTTCTATAAATAAAATACTCATTCATATATATTATATCACAAATTATTAATTTTTGAACGATTTCTTCTTTATCCTAATGAAATTTATTTCTCTAAATCATTTATTTTTCTTTTCTATATATGAATCCAATAAAAAAAGGTATTAACTAAAATTAAACATATATGAATACATAATATAAAAAAAAGTATTCCAATCAAAATTTAATAAGTTTCAATTTAGAATTTGAAATCTTCAGAATCAATAAATTACACTGTAAAATTAAAAATTGTCTAATTAACTATTTAATCAACATGATTATCTGTTTCTATAAATGTTGTAGTATTACTTAAAAATTGATAATATTAAATTTCTGATAAACTATCAATTTAATAATATAAAATTACTTTGTTTAATTAGTTAAACATCTTATTGAATATGGTTGAATGTCAAATTTGACTAAAAATAAACTAGTGGATGTAATTCCAACAAAAATTTCAAACCCTTTTAAAGTTTATTGAATATCACTATATAATGAAAATATTTCAAAATCTCTTAAACCTAAATATGTAAATACTGGTAAACTAATAATTAAATATACATATATTATATACTTATCTGATTGGTATTAATAAATATCTGATCTAAATAAAATCTTGTGATGATTATTTCCTTATAATATTACAAATTCATCAGTTGCATCTAAACATTTTATTTAATTTCTTGTTTTATATGAGTTTAATTCAAAATAAATAGATTAATTTACTGATATGTAATATTCAACAACATAATAAATATGAGAAAATTAATAAGCTACAAATAAATTTATACCATTTTTTGTATCTATTGAAATTCCTTAACCTTTAGAGTAAATTAATGTTAATAATTAAAATTTTAATTCATATTTAATTATTTGAATTTCTATTATATAAACGTCCCCATTTAAGTCCAAAAAGTAACATTTATAGTCAAAATCATTAAGTTTAATCAAAGTAAAATCTTTCAAATTAAATTATTCTAATTTTAAATTGATCTTATCTAAATTCGCTATAAATCTTAAAGAATCTGATGCTTATTGATAGATATCTATTCCATACTCTCCAACACATGTAAATATAAAATCATCTATGGATTTAGTTAATCCTCTATTGGATCTTTTTACCCAATCTCCAACATTGATAACCTCAAGATTTTGCTCTTTTGTTTTGACTTAATTAATTCTCAATAAATATGCAGTTGATGGAAATATGATTAAAACTTAGTTTGAAGAAGGACAAAAGACAATTTATGCAAATTCTATAATCAAATCTGAACCTTAGATAATAGATTTAAAATCTGCAGTCCAAATCTTTTTAGCAAATTAATTATTTTTATTAGATTAAATTGCATCATAGTTAAATTGAAAGAAATTGATAATGAAATCAGTAGTTAACACAATTATTCCATCTTAAATTTAAGTCATACAAATAAACTATTTTTAATCAAATGGATATACTTAATTATCTACTTAACTAATTTATTATATTTTGATTACTCATAAATTTCATGATTCTCAAGTATTGGAAATTATTTTATATAAATTGCAATATTCTTTTGGATTAATTTACAAAATGGGTTTGAATTATTTGTATACAATTAGGCATCTATAGCATTAGGGAATTCTAATAAATTCTTATCCTCATTTATATATAGAAGATAACTTTTGGTTGAATTAATGTTAGATTGAAGCTTAGTTGATATCGAATTTAGTATAAATATTAAGGCAAATATTATCAAATACATAAATAAATTACAAGAGTTTAATAAATAATAAACTATGACATAAGAAATTAAATTAACATAAATAAGCTAGTTGTATGTTAAAAATTAGAATAAATAATAAAAAGTCAAAAAATTCTTAATTTAAGAACATTCTTTTATACTTGAAGATAATTATTCTCCTGTTGAAATAAGTAATAATCTCCAATTAAATTTTATGATTCAAATGATGTGAATGGATTAAATATAAAGATAAGGATAAGCATACCAAAACAGAGAAATAAAGATAAATGGCAATAAAAAGCAAATGAAATAGCTGTTGAATTTAAAGTATATGCAGAAAGAATATTTATTTAATTTCTTTGGGTGAATTTTTAATAATAAAAATTCTAATCATACAAAAATATCAATTCCATTAGAATTATTATTTAAGAATGCTTCTAAAATGATATTACTTAATTATCATAATTAAAAGAATGTGAGTTACTAAGGAAACTATTTACATTATGATTATCCTTAATAATTACATTTAAATAAGCTTTGGAATACACGTATTGTGATTAATTAAATTAGTAGACGAACTAATGGCTTAATTAGCTTTTAAATTAAGTTGAATTCGAAAATTATGAAGTGAAAATAGGTAAATATAAAAAAAAGTATATTCCATCTACTTTATGAAGAATTTCTATTGAATTTTTTTCTGAATTCTAAATATCATTTTAGGTAAGCAAAAAAGTGAATAAAATTGAATATTTCACATTTTAAACTATGAAAATGCTTAAATAATAAATTATTTATTAATAATTTATTATATCTATATAATATATATTAAATGAAAAATTATGATGTCTAATTAATATTTGAATTTATTAATTTGCATTATGGGTCTATGCATTAATTAATTAAATTTGTTTTTGACTATTCTATTGATAACTCTATTTAATAAAATTATATTTTATTTTTTTTACTTAAATCATATAATTCAACTTTAGTTATATATTTTTTAATTTTATTATTTATAAGGCATTTAATGGAAGATTTTGTTCCTCAATTAAATAGTTTAGTAAAATACTCAACACCCGTCTTAGTTTCAGTAGCTGGAAAAAACACAGGTATAGATATATGATTATTATTATTAAGGTGATAAAAAGGATGCATATGCTAAACAACAGGTCAGAGCCAATAGTCCTGGAAGAGTACTAATTTAAAAAATAATGACAGCAAGAGAAAATGATAACCTAAGAAATTTTACAATAGAATCTTCCACCTAAAGAATATAGATTAAAAAATGGGCAATTATGGGTATAAACAGTTTTATCCACTCCTGCTACAAGAATTGAGGTTGTATAATTATAGCAGGAATTAGACAAAAGATTATTATCAAGAGGAGCTAGAGAAACTGGAATTTGTCCTATTAGAGAAGAATTATATGAATAATGTTTTGATGAATTGATAAGATAAATTACAATAGATTGTAGTTAAAGGGGATTGTTATTAGTGAAGTATGAAATTTAGGTTTATTTTATTTGAGTACGAAATGAATTTCGAAATCAATTGAATTCTTATAAAACTCTATATGAGAGTTCAATTGCTTATGGTATGAGAAAGATGATTGATTCTGAGTCAAAGAAGACAGATAAAACAAATAAAATTATGTTTATGGAAAGAGAATGTCAGGAATTACAAAAAGGAGTTGAAGAACTTGAATAAAAAATATAATATACTAAAAAAGTAGAAACAGAGAAATTATAAAAGGTTAGATATTTATAGTATATTAGGAATCTGAAAATCATAAAAATGAAATTGAAAAAATAAGAGCATATAATAATACATTAAAAGATGAATTAGGAAGACTCTTAGAAGGGAGAAGATGATTCTATATTTAAATATAAAAATTAGATATTGGTTTTATAATCTTTATAATTCAAATTTTAATAATAAATATGATAAGTTTAATTAAAGGAATTTGGCAAAAGTATTTTGATCCTCCAGTCTTTAAAATTCTAATTATTGGATTAGATGGAGCTGGCAAAACAGTAAGAGTTTATTATATATAGACATTATTAAATAAATTAAAACAATTAGCAAAACATCCATTTATACAATTTGATAAAATACCAAAAACTGTTGGTCTGAATATTACAGAGATTGATTATATGGCTTCTAATAAATCTATAAATAAGAAATATAAAGTAACTTATTGGGATTTAGGAGGGTCTCAAACCTAAAGAAGCATCTGGAAAAAATACTATGGAGAATGTCATGGCATAATTTTTGTAGTAGATGGAAATAAATCTGAGAGATGGGATGAAGTGAGAAACTGTTTTAAGTATTTTATACTTCTCATATTTTGGTGAGGTTTTAAGTGATAAGGCGCATGATTAAGTACCAATTTTGATTTTAGTCAATAATCGACAGAATAGAGATAGTGGGATTTGTATTAAAATAAAAGAATTGATCTAAAATAATACAGATAGATTTTTAAACATATAGGAAGTGAATATTGTAGATAAGTATAAATTAATATCATATGCAGCACTAACGTAGTTGAATCTGTAAAATTACTACACAATGAGATTGGGCAGTTATTTCAGCTGTATAATTGACGTGTTTTGATTTATAGATAATTCCATAGATATATATATGATCAAAGGAACTAAGGGCATGGGATGTCCAGACATTTAGGACCAGCTATGAAATTACTCATAGCATAGGTCTCTTGGTCACTGAACTTTCGTGATTTTCTCCTATTCCTTGTTTAGGATATCACTTAGATCACGTCACCGTCAAGGACAACTTAAAGCTCACCACAAGGTTCTTTGCCTTTAGGGCAATAATAGACCGGGCTTAGATTTTCTAAGCGTTGACTGCTGTCGGTAGAACAATTAGAATCAATGTTCAATTCTTCAATATTGGAAAGCGGATTCTAAAATAAGATAAATGATTACTACCTTGTGTTTCGAAGGTGGTGTGATATAGATTTATTCTCGTTCCTTCTTTTTAGGAACGAAGAGACACTTAGAGCTGTTTGCAGTCTAAGACTTTTTATACACTCTATTTTTGGTACTGCTCACTAGATGGATTAATATTCAAAACATACTTGTTCTATCTGGGAGAAGGCTTGTGATTTAAAAAGCTGAAAGGGCTTTTTTAAAATTTTTATTTAATTATTAATATAACATTGCCCGCTGTTTTAATAAATATTCATCATTCATCCCCCATTCTAGGTTGGGTGTCCATACCGTTTAGTCTATCCTTATATACTTCAAGCAAGAATTTATAATCAATACGGCCATTTTTTTTGGACCAAGAAATTAATTAAGGCCATTATTCATCTCTGACAACAATTCCTTAAGATCTTAACATTCTATCCATTTCTTATTTTATTAACTACAAAATATATTTAAATAATTACATCTTCAGTAAGTGGAATTTGACCATTCTAAGTCAAATGCTTAAATATTTCTAGAAGATACTTCCTGTTCTTTCCAATTGCATTTATTGTTTTATCAAATTCTTTAGAACTTTCCCAAATACCATTTTCTTATGATTAAATAAAAATTTACCAACATATTAAAGTGCTGTTTGTTTAACTGGAGGTCTTCTTAAGAAAGTCTTGAATTTATTAGTTGCATTCATTAAACCATCATCAGTTAATCCTTCAAATTATTAAGGAGACTAAACACTTTGTTTTGTCATCCATCCTTTATCAGTTTAAGCCATTAATGATTTTTGTGATGATTTTTTCACTCTTACATTTGCACTCATGGGTCTAATTATTTAAAGATAGAAAGTACCTTTTCTTTTCATTTGGATTTGAAAATTTAGAAAAAGCATCCATCCATTCTGTTAAATCTAATAAACCATCCCTTCTTTTATCTATAAATTCAAATAGATCTTTAATAATAGCAAATGGAGGAATATCTTCTGTAGCCAATCTATACAACATTTCAATCATATCCTTAAATTTATCAAAACTCAAATATCCAGTATGTTAGGCATCAATCTATCTAAATGCATCTTTAGGTGATAACAAATAATGATAAATATGATCATTCACTCTCTATAAATGAATTGCTGCTCTTTCTAATATTTTATTATCTGCTTATCTAAAATCTAATCTCTTTGCAAAATCTCTCCAATTTACCATACTATTTCTGTCAGTATCTAACATAGCTGATAATATATCAATATCTTAAAATGTTAACCCCATATTAAGACTTCTGATTACTTAACGAAATTCTAAATTAGTAATGAATCCAGTATTATCTGAATCATATTATTTAAATAATTCACTAATATTTTTATTTGAATTTCTTAAAAATCTTCTAATTTTATCTAACAAGCTAATATTAACTTGATTTCTCTCATCCAAAGGTAATTCACTTAAACCTCTATAAAATAATTAATAAATTATTACCCTTAAGTCATAGGTCTAATATGCTATTATTGTTATTATCCTTCAGGAAGCTCATAAGCTTTTGTACCTTTTCCAAATATAAGTGCAAATGCATGATTACTTAAAGATCCATTTTTTTGAACTCTTGTCCATAAAGTTTCTATGTCACCTTCAACAAATCTTTTTGGGAATAAAGCTTACAAAGCCCTTGCAAAGCTTTCCTTTGTTATCACATGACTATGCTCCATCTAAAAATAGTGAATAGCATTTTAAATGCTTGAAAAATAAGTAGAAAGTGCATCTTAGATTTCTTTAATCATTTAATCTTACCAATTATATTGAGCAAATGCATTCAGCCAATCAGATTCTACTAAATAACCTTTTTTATGAGAATCAAGATCAGAAAAGATTTCATATACTAATTTTTCAGTTAAATCAAATCCTGAAAGAACATTCTTTTCATCAATCCATTTTTTAAATTTTTAGAATACTAATTTTTTTCGATATCCTGAAACAATATCAAAAGATTCTTTTACATTTGGATAATGTCTACTTATAATTAATCCTATTTATTATCTAGCATTCATTTTCCAATCAAAAGATGATCTTGATTCTTATTACGATTTTGCAGATACATTTGTTGTTTATCCAAATACTTATTTATTTTTACCATAAAAAAATCCTTCTTCTACAAATCTTTTGAAATCCATTAATGTAATTTTTCCTCTTTTATATTAATCCATCAACTTATATAATCTATTGATTTTTGCTTCAGTAATTTCTTTTTCTTCAATTTTCAATATATCCTTTAAAAAAGTTCTTAAATCAGCTTTGTTTATTTAACCATCAAAATCTTTATCAAATGTTCTAAAGGCATCTTCTACAGTTATATTCTCTCTTTAACACCAATTTCTTATTTTGAATAGGATTTCTAATTCCCAATCAAAATCATCTTCAGATAAAGATGGCATCTATTAAATAATGGATTTACTCATAAATTTAACAAAAGTATTAAGATCAATTAAACCAATTTTCTATTTATCCATAAAAGCAAAGAATCCATCTTTAGCTGGTTAACTTAAAGTCATAATTTTATCTATATTTTAGAATTCACTAATTGATAAGAATCCATTATGATCAGTATCTAAGAATGTAAAAAGTTCTTCATATGACATTCCTTTTCTATTTAATTTTATTCTTAAATCTTTAAGTATTTAATCAAATTTAGATTCTGGTAATTCTTCAACAGGAAACAAACTTTTTGATTAATTCATTCCATCAACCAAAGATTAAAACATTTTCTTTTGTCCCATAGTAACTAAATCTATAGATTTAGATTAAACACAAGTATTTTCAATAGCTGATAAATTATCTCCAAATTAAGGTTTAATCTTTAAACTTTCAACAATTTATTCAATTTAAGATTAATCTTTTCTAACATTAAAATATGAATATCTTTTTATGAATGTATTCATATCTTCATCACTAACAACACCATTTCCATCAACATCCATTTCTCTACAATATTCCAAACATTCATCATGAGATAATTAAGTAAACAGATTCTTTTCTAAATATTATGCAGTAGATTCAATATTGCATGAACCATATCCTGATTTTACTTATTATAAAAATTATATAACAGTGAATTTTTTTTAAGTTAAATACTTATTGATTTTTTATGCAAAATCAACAAGATCTTTAGCTGTATCCTTTTAATCCATTTATTTATTAACATCCATAATCATTTAAATAAAATCATAATAATTTATTAATGAATCTCTATTCTTTGGAAGATAACGAACTAATCTATTTATATCTTAAACATTCAATCCTAATGAACTTTCCATTAAGACAGTCTTAAAATTGGCAGTATCTAGATTACCTTCTTAATGTTCATCAAAATATTCAAAAGATGATCTCAAAACCTTCATTTTCTAAGGATCAACTAAATGATCTCTCATTTTATGTAAGGTATCTTTAAACCATGACAAATCATACATTTTGTCATCTTCTTCAACTGTATTAAATAATGCTAATAAATCATTCATACTAATGGTTTCTTTTCCATCCAAAATTTCCTTTGCTACTTTATGTGCTTTGTGTTAATTTAAAGATTCATCTAAATGCATTAAAGCAAATTTTAATTATTACAAATTAACAGGAGGATGATCACGATGTAAATTCATTCTCTATAATAAATCATCTGTATGAATTTAGAATTTATATACAACATCCTTTATATAATTTATATGAGTTTCTATTAAATTTATATTATAATACTTACTTTTATCAACAATAGCTTTAAGCCAATCAAATTTATCAATAAAACCATCATTATTAACATCTAAAGTCTAAAACAAAGTAATTATTTATATTTCATTAAGAGGTAAATCAATCTTAATCACAGCCCTCTTAAAATCATCAAAATTCATTCTAATTTTTCTTTCACTAGTTTTACCAAATGCCTATTAACATAGATCTAAAAATGACTAATTAATATTATTATTCTAATATTACATCTTCAATATTTAATGCATGATCTCTAATATAATATTTTAATCTTTCTAAAGCATACACTTTATCATTAACTGATCTTTGAAATCCCATTCTAGAAATCTATTAAGTTGATGGTCTTAATTCTATCTAAAAATAATATTGATCATTAAATATTACAGTTTTACTCATAAAACCACCCTTTTTAGACTAAACCTATGAATTTTTAGCAGTTTTAGGTCTTGCATCAGGTAATTCAATCCCAAGAGAATTAGTTAAATAATTCCTAGCACCTTCATCAATCATTAGATTGTTTTCTTCAGGATGCTGACTCTTACTCAATTATTGTAGGAACTACTATGTCAAACGCATATCTCCTTTAGATTTTCTCTCTGACAATGGTCTCTTTGTTATTTCCTATAAACAAATTTTAATCCAATATTTTACTTTACAACTATCCATAAGAGAATCTAAAAATTGTACAGCTGCACAATGAGATTTAACAAAGAATGTACCAACACATGGTATTTCAACTTCAACAACATCCCTCTAAAATCATTTTTAAGTTTATATACATTGCGAACAATATCAGATAATGATTTAATGACTCTCTCAACAGCCATTTTAGCTGAATCCTTATTTTAAGATGCATACAATGCTATTTCTGCCCAATTTACAATTGCATGCTATATCTTACCAGATGTTTGCACTTTATAAGGTCTTAATTATCGACCAATTGCTATGGCAGTTTTTAGATTGAATCCATTAACAAATTCCTTACATTAAATTAATCGACTACCTTTGCAACAAGAAAAACTGGTTAACGTGGCTACTTATCTCTTTCTACTGGATTGGTAACTCCATCTAATATAACATCTGGAGCACTAAAAGAAAATGTTCCAAATTTATTCATTGCTACTCCTCTACCCATTCGTAATTATCTTGAAACATGAAGGCCTTTACAATACAAAATTTATAATTACCGAATGCATTCCAAGCAGCAGATACAGTTTCCTCATCCAAAGCTGCTATCAATGAGCCATTACTAACATATAACTCTACATGCTTACCCTGCTTATCCATTTCGAGTGGCTATTTTAGAGATTATAGACTATGCATTCATTGTTGCCTTGCTTTGATAACTATCAATGCTATTCATTTAATTAATTTATTTATAATGTTATCGTAGATATTCATTTATATCTAAACTTAACTCTTCTCAATCTTCACATAAGATAAATATCAACATCATTTAAAGCTTTAATATATTAATCCTTAAAAATACTATTTTATATACAATTCTTGAATTTTTTAATTTATTTCCTATAAGTACTCTTTAATACAAAAAGTTCAACTAATTTGGAATATAAATATATATTGTATATATTCATAAAAATATCCATCTCAGCAATTAATAATTAATCTTTATAAGCCAGTTAAAATCAGGTTCTATCAGCAAAAAATACAAGAAATTATTGGTTGATAAACTATAGTTGCAAAATACTTAATATGATAAAAAAAAGGTTCATTTTATATAAATAAATAATAAATTGATTTTAGGAATTTTCTTGAAATAATTTTAATGATATTTTTAAATTTCACATATATATTATTAAATTCTCATTCCTAAAAATAGCTAGTATTATCAAATCTTAGCTTCATTTATTATATAGATTTTAAAATATCAGCAATATAAATGTAGAAGAGTGAAAAATGAAAAAGCCATTATGGTAATAAAACCAAACATTTTATTAATTATTTGGCTTATAGAAAAACTAATATTTGTGAACAAATAATCCCTTTTCTTTTTTCAGCAATAAAGAAAAGTATGATACTCTACATAATTCTAATTCAAAAATATCTCAGATGTTAATTATGTTATTGACTTTTGATAACTTAATTATTTGATTTTCCTCCTCTTTATATTCATGATTTTAACTTGTTTTCAAAATGATATTTTAATATTCTAATTTTTCTGAGAAATTGTGAAACTTTATACAATTCTATTTTAATGATTATTTTTACAGAATAATAAATAATTTTTAAGGATTTATTTTGTCAAAATAATGATTAAAATATGAAAAGAATTAATTTCTCTAACTCATAAATTTAGAAATAATATTCATAAAAATTAATATGTTTCTATAATAAAATTTAACTATGCTTTGAATTTATTAAAATCATATAAATCATTTTTCAATTTATTTCAGAAAATCATTATATTTTATATTAAAATAAAAAAAGTATGAAGAGAGATAAATCTTCTTTTGAAAAACTCCCTTTGATTGCTTAATGCAGACTCTCATTAAAAAACATTATGTCTCTTGCTGATCTAAATCAAAAATAAGTAAGTTTAAATATTATGTCATTAAAGTCAGTTAGTAACCATAGCTATTAACAACCTCTTACCGAGAGGCCTCCAAGAAATAATATCAAAGTTCATTCGTCTATTTTGGAATTTAAGCAAAACTATAAAAGAATGCTTACAAATTCTAAATATGGCATTAATTATATGCAAAAGAAGGTTTTCTCTAAACTTGATCCTCTTTGATTATACATTTTTGATGATATAAATTCTACAATTTTAATCTATAAAAATAAAGTTTCAACTAACATGATCTAGATAACTTCAAAGATGGAAAAACTCTTTATTTTTATAAATAATGTAGAATGTTCATTTTTTAATATAAAAACTCTTAAATTAGCACATAAACAAGAGTTTTAAAGCACTTTCTCAAAGAATATTTCAAGTTTTTTACATAAATGTTAATAATGAAATTTGAAAGATGTTTGCGTCATCTCTTTATATAATTATTCGAGACACTAAATTGTAATTAGAATGACTAAATTCAATTTTAAAAAAGAAAATATATATTTTATACAATGAATCTATTACATTTTATAATTTTATTAAAAGATAAATTCAGAGCTTAATGTATATGGTTTTTTTTTTCTTATCACGTATACATTGAAGCATTTAGAAAATATTTTATTAACATTTCTTTTAGAATGAACTTTTTTTTTAAATATAATTACATTAAAGAGCAATAATAAGAATTGAAAAATTACAATTTACAAATAGTAATTATCTATTTATGAAAATATCTGATGTTAATAATCATACTTTATTGCTAATTGCCATTTATTATATTAGTAATTATTTAGTATGCTTTATGGAACAAATATCTATTGCTAATTTGAATATAAACTAAAGATACATATATAGGATTTTAAGATAAGTGATTGTTGCCCTATTCTTGTCGTAATGCAGATTAAGTTATTATTGTTTAGATTACCAATTGATTTCTTTTAAAATAATTATAAATTACATTCATTAGGAAGCAAAACATAACTCTATAGATTTGTCATATCTTCCATTTCGATAATATATTCTTTTTAAGGTTCATAATATTTTTAGCTTAGTTGATTTGTTAGAAGTCCTGTCTTTATTTAAGAAAAACCTTGGCTCATTTGATTAGAATTATTATTGAATCCTAATAAATTATACTTATTATTATTTTAAATTCTATAATTTATTATATTTTATAAAATTTAATATTATTCTATGTTATTTTTAAATATATACATAACATTTTTGAGATTTATTTCTTATTTCAGACAAAGCTCTATTAAATTTGCTATTATTAATACTTAGTTTTTCTAATTGTTTCAACTTCTCTTTAAAAACTTGAAAAATAATTTTTAGCAGATTTCTCATATAATTAATTCCTATCTGCCATTTTATCTTTGATAGTTTATCTATCTTTTCGACTAAAAATGATAATGCAGTCAATTCCAAACTTTCTAGGGATTCATCAAGAGATTCTTTATTCATATGAAGTTATCGTTTGTCTATTAATTAAAACAATTAAATTAATACTAATTATTAAATAAAATTAAATTGAAAATGAACTAAATAGTAAGTATAGAAGATAATTATAGAAAGGATATTAAAAAGTAAAAATTATCTTTTTCCTGTAAAAATATAATTAAATTCAAAAAAATTACATTTTAGTAGACTAATTTAATTTAAGAATCTATTGCTCAAGAGATAATAAAAAAAATTAATTCTAAATTATGTAAATGATTGATTAATTAAATAAAGAAATCAAAAGCGATCAGTTAAAGGCCGGCTACCTTTTCTTGTTGAAGTAAGACCAGATTAGACATCTATTAATTTATAATTCAAGAATCCTGGAATCCAAATTCTTTTCTATCCTAAGAATTATTCATCTAAAGATGGATGTAATATTTTTCTAACTTAAATTTAATTAAATTGATTTTTTTGGGCTTTCTAATCATTGTCAAAATCATCATCTTATTTAATTCGAGGTTAAGGTTTTGGTTCTGTATTCATTTTAATATGTCTACTACTTTTGATTTATTATTAATCATTAAATAAATTATTTAGATTAGGATTTTATTGAAGAAATTCATGATTCTGAACTTATTAAGAAAGCATCATAAGTTACTATTACTTTAAAGAAAAGGATTTTCTTCGTTTAACTTTATAATTCTTTTACATAATATTGTTATGAGACACAGTTCTAATTTAAATGAAAATATAAATACTCTGGTTATTTATTAATTTTATTAGAAAGACCTGCTTAAATAGCATGTAGTTTTTCCCTTTCTTATTCTTAAATTTATGCATTAATAAGTTTTCTATACTCTATACTTTTAGGTTTGATGGAATCATCTAATTTATTAGTTTTTTTCACAGTTTTGTCAAATATAATTTCTATATTTTTAATACCTTTTTAGGTGTTAAAATATTTTTCAAAGGTAATACTTATTTAATTCTAAATAATTTTATAAATTATACATAATGTGATGAATACCTTATAGTTTTAATTCCATTTTCAATAAAATTTGAAATAATGTTGATTTGATCTCTAGATTTATTTTCTATTTCAAAAAGCAAGGCTAAAATATTATCACATTACAAAATTAAAGGTCCTCTAAAATTATTTTCAGCTAAAACTGAAAATCTCTATTAAATAATAAATAAATATAAACTTTTTCTGGATTAACGAATGTTATCGTATGTATATCCCATGCATTAGATTATTTAATTGAGAATTCCATTTAAACATCTTTGAACAACCAAAAATTTAAAAATTATTTTTTGATAATACAGGTCATCTCAGTTTAATTACTAAGCATTTATTATTTAGGTTTATAAGTTGGTGATTTAACTACAAATTTACCAATAGATTAATATTCCATAGCATCTCTACGATGATGAATACCGACATTAGATTTAGGCATCCATTCATCAGTTTATTTACTATAGAAATATAGATCACCAGTAGTTGAATCTAAAAAGAAATCATCAGATCCATTTTTTAATGCTTAATTTGTAAATTTTGGAAAATCTACTAGCTTGCATCCTTCACCATATCCATTTGTTATATTAATATACTATACAATTAATTATTATTATTTTATACATTTTAAATGTTTGTGGCACATAAATATGCAAGCGCTTAAGCACCAAAAGATGTCATAAATAATAGTTTTTTTGTTTTTAAACACATTCGAATAAGTGTGATTATCTTATGTAATGACATTCATTTACACTTCTCATTCTATGATGCCATGGACGAACATTTGGTGATGCAGCTATGAAAATCATGTCAAGAGCATCAAATTTCAATCCATGTTCTGGTCTAACTAATGATGTTTCAGGTTCAAATAGATATTCTTATACTGAATGCCTATCAACAATAACAAACTCGAATTCAACATCCGCAACTTCTTTTAATGATTATGTTATCTAACTTAATTATTTTTATACATCCCATATTAATTACTTGAATTATTCAATTAACTTAAAGTTGTTCCGAGAAGCATGATAACCATTAACAATAAGAAATTTCATTTATTTTTGTTATCAATAAATTTGATTTCATATTAAAGAGTCAAAGAATAAAAATTCTCAATAAATTTAATGAAGTATCAATTAATATATAATTAAATTTGTGAATTGAGATAATTTTTATACAAAAAAACATATTATATCTTGGAATTAATAAAATATATATTAAAATTAGAATATTATAAGTAAAATTACAATTTATAACATGTATTTGTTATAAATAATATAATGAGAAAATATTTAAAGATGTTTTTTATAAATTTGTTTTACTACTCTTACAATCTTTAAATAAATATTATAATTTATTTAATGATTGTTTATTTGAAATTAGTCATTTATAATAATCAATAATTATGAGTCAATATGAATAGTAAAATTTGAAAATTATTTAAAAAATGAAGTTTATGCCAATTTAAAATTGAACTATGTTTTTAAATGTAAGGATTTATCTAAGCAGTATGAATGTATTAGGATGTATTTGTTTCAATCAAATTAATTAAGTTGTACCATATAATTTAATAAAATTAATGAATTAAGATCATTTTAGCTAACAAACATAGAGTCAAACTCATTATAATTAAGATGTTAACCCTTAGTTGTCAAGTAATTAATCATTGCATATCATGGTAGAATATTAATAAATAAAATGAAGAACTTAGGACAAAAATAACAAATATAAGAAATTGATGAGGAAAAACAGTAGACTTGGAAATAAAGACAAAGTCTTAGCTTAGATTCAGACAAAGAGTAAACTGATAATCAAAAAATTGAATAACGACCATCAAGTTCTAGTCCATCAGATTAAAAGACAGTGAAAAATAAAAATTAAAGTGGCAACCGTGCAATAAATAGTGGTACAAAACGTTCAAGCAAAACTCCACATGATTTTTAAGAAGAAATAATCCCTTAAGTGAGAAGCATTTTGAAATAAGGTACTTTTATTAGTCATGCATCTGTACCTAGAAATAAAGGGATTAGACCTAGCAGATTATAAAGGTAATTAATAGTTTATTGTTTAAAGTTTGCAAAGTCTCTAATAATCAATAAGGAAAAATAGAGTATATCCAGAAGAGATTCAAGACAATTCTGGTTCAAATTAAAATGATTCGATATAAGAAGATTCATTTTTTGAAGAAACCGAAGAAAATTTAGTCGATGATGAATCTAGATATAGATTTGATAGACGGTATTGAGTTAATTTATAAAAGATATGCTCATCTTACTTATATGATATTTCCTGATGATCCAGTCAAAACAATATGGGACATTTTAATAATAATAGCATTACTGTGTGTATGCTTTGTAGTTCCTTATGAGATATCATTTAAGAATGACGATACAGAATATTCAGCAGTTTCATATGGATTCAATATAGCTATAGATATTCTTTATGGAACTGATATAATCATAAATCTTTTTAGTGCTTATGTTGATGATTAAGATGATTTAATAGTAGATAGAAAGACTATTATTAAACATTATTTGACTGGTTGGTTTATACTGGATATAATCTGTATTATGCCTTTAGAGTATTTAATTGATGATAACAATACATCTGGTTTTCAAAAATTTGCAAAACTTCCAAAAGCTTATAAGATGTTAAAACTTATAAAAATGTCTAGAATTCTTAAGTTTTGCATATAAAAGAAAAAGTATGGAGAAATGTTAAATCAATTTTCAAATATAAGTGTAATTCTGTTTAATTATCATAGTAAAATATTAGAGTTATGATTATATCATTATTATCAGTAATCTTAGTAAGTCATTTATTTTCTTGTTTTTGGTATTTCATTGGAACAATCTCATCTGATACTTAGACTTGGATTGAACAATATGTAGATAATGAGTCTAATTTTGAAAGATATATAATGAGTATGTATTGGGTTTTTTAAACAATGGCAACTACTGGATATGGGGATATATCAGCAACAAATAGCACAGAATAAATGATTACAATATTCATAATGATTATTGGAGTAATATACTTTTCTGTTACTATTGGTTCAGTTAGTTCTTTATTGACTTAATTAGATTCATAAAATGTAAAATATAAAGAAAAAATTGATACATTGAATGAAATTGTTAAGCATCATAAAATTGATAATACTTTATATGCTAAGATTTGTAAAGTGTTAAAATAAGGATATAAAAATAATTAAAATGAAATAGTTGAATTTCTAAATCTTTTGCCATAAAATTTAAGGACTGATTTATCATAGGCAATGTATAAAAATGTATTTCTTGGTATTGATCTTTTTAAACATAAACCATTAAGATTTACAGCCTATATTGGTCCTTTGTTAACAATCTTTAGAGTTCCTGAAGGAGATGTTATATATAATGAAGGTGATTATGCAAGCGAAATCTATTTTATTCGTGAGGGTAGTGTTTCATTATGTATAAAAGAATGTGATTATCATCCTTTTGTGACAATAGATGTTGGATAATATTTTGGTGAAATAGAATTAATTAAAGAAACTTAAAGAAAATATACTGCTATTGCATAAAATTAATGTGAACTATTATCTTTATCAAAATCAAACTTTTATAAAATATTTTTCACAGAATTCAGAGAAATAGGTGAAGAATTACATGAAAATGCAAGAAGGAAAAAAAGAGATTATGAAGAATAATTTACAAAAACCAAGGCTTTTTATTAAGGTTTAGAATAGTAAGCTGAATAATAATTGAATGAATAAAATAAAATTAAAGTTGGTTTAGAAAAATTCAAACGAAATTTAATGTTTTAAGCCTAAACTTAAAAAGGAATTTTAGATAAGGCAATCAGAGAGGCTGAATAATCTACATAAAATGAACTAAAAAGAAGAATGAAACGCTTAAAAACTGTCTTATTATAAAAAGGAATAATAGATAACATGGATGAAAAGAGTCCAAGCAGAACAAATGGTGAAATATAAACTAGAAAATTTGATAAAAAAAATACATTTTTACCTATGGATATTATTAAATAAGCATAATAATTAAGTTCAGATGATGAAAATAATGTTAAAGATTAATAACAGTAAGTCTAAAATAATCATCGAATTAATAAAAAGGCAATGACTACTTTTCTGTCACCTGAATCTAGAGAAAATCAAAATGATTTTTTATTATCATAAGATGGAATGTTAAACTCTCAAACACTTTCATCTTATGATACAAATATATAATTTCTGAAAAATAGAAAAAAGTAATTATACCTTTGATATTATTTAATTTATTTGATTTTAAAATATCTCAATATTATAATTATAAATAGATATTCAATTGTCCATTATAAGATATATAATTTATTAATTCATTGTTCTACCATTGCTTATTCTTCTGTTTGATATTAAATTGGTATATTAATTTCCAGTTCCTATTTACATATTGGACAATGTTTTTCTTTTCCTAACCATAGTTTTATGCATTTTGAATGATAAATATGTTAACAAGGAAGTGCTCTGCATTTGTCAGTACTCTCAAATTCAATTTAACATATAGAGCATCTTTAAATTAATATAAATGTCTATTACAATTATTCATCTGTTTTGCATTAATCAAAGCTTATTTTTGGAATAGTTTTTATTTATTCTTTACTCAAACCTCTATTTACGTAACCAATTGTATCTTCAAGTTAGAGAAGTTATTCATAAGTCAAATTATCAACATCAACAAAAACTGGGATGTCTTCATTACTATGACGAATTTAATTTAGAAAGTGTCTCAAATCATTTAAATTAGTCATATGTTGTTAAAATCCATCTTAAGAATCTAATAAATTAAATTATATATCATACATGCTTCTTCTTCTTCTTATAGATTGAGTTAGTTTTCTAATTGAGTGATATGTTCAATTAAAATTTATCTTTCTTCCATTAGTTTATGTGATTACATTTATAACTCTTTACAACAATTTTCTCTTTGTTTAAGTAATTGAAGTAAAAGTTAAATTTTAGTTTCTTTCTCATCAATAATCTACACTTATCCATAAGAACTTTTACCTTCTTTGACTTCTTAACTAATTCCTCTAATAGTTTACATTGCCTCAACAGATCCTCAATAATAGGTGAATTGACAGGATGATCTTGGGGCTTACGCTTTTAAGAGACTGTAGATCTGGTCATCTTTATTTCTGGGGATTAAGATTATTTGGAAACAAAAGGATGCTTTTCATTTCTTAATAATTTTAATGCTAACTCTTTTCTTAATTCAGGAGAATGGCTTTTTCTTTACATGTTCATTTTTAAGATTAATATTTTATATAAAATTATTGCAAAATATATATTTTAATAACTCTTGTAGTATTTAATTGGTGTAAAATATATTTCATTATTGATTATATTTAACCACATAAAAATAATAAATTCAGAATCATATAATTAGAATCAATATTTTTTAATATTCTCTTTTGTAATAACATAGTCAAAAAAATATGGAATTAAAAATATATTAGTTATTTCCATTTAATTAAAATATAGTTTAATTACATTATTGAACTAATTGATTAGTTTCCTAAATTATTTAAATAAACAAATATAATCTTAAATTTAACTTAAAATTAAGTAGCTAAAAAGGTGTTAAAATCAATAAATATTAAAGACTAAATACAATTAAATTCAGAAGCAATTAATAAAAATAAATAAATTAATGAGTAAGAGATATACTTTTTCTGATTTTGTCAAATTTCATAAAGGAAAAGGTTTTGGAATTTGTAAAATCGAGAATTTCAATTAAGAAGAAGATTGGTTCGAATATTTTGAATATATATTGTCAGAAGACTTACCTAAAGGTTGGTTAATTATATTTATTATTATTTATAAACTATTACTTAACTTCAAATTTAAAAATCTATATAATTGAGATATTCTAATTTATTAATTTTTATTAGGTAAATAACCTCATCATGGATAATATGAAGTTTTTAAGACAGAATAATTGAAAAAAGGGAAAATGTCTGATATTATAGAAAAAGTTTAAATTACTAAACTACCTGAATATGTCTAAATGAAATAAAAAAAAGGATATGTGATGAGACAATAGTATGTTTAAAGAGAATTTATGCCTACACTTAAATCCTGTTTTTGTGGTCAATATGTAAATCCTGATTAGGTTCTTGTACTTTGTAGTTAATGTGAAAAGGCTTTTCATGCAGAATGTTTGATAAAGAAATTAGATTATGGAATAGTTAATTGTGATACATGTAGGGAATAACTAAGTAATAATGTCATTCCTGAACATATCAAAAAAAATCTATAATCTAGAAATACAAATCCAATAGATCAAAAATAATATCTAAATAAGATAAATGAATATAAAAATAATATATAAATTGAAGACGATGAAGAAGAAGAGATAGAATTGAATGTAGGAAAAATAGATCTAGATAAAATGGTAAAGAAAATCAAAACTAAAGATGAATATGTGTCTAATACAGTTCATGTTATATAATAAATTAATATAGGTAATGATAATTCTAAAATTAATTCAATTTATAAATAAGCACCAATAGCTAAAATTAATACAAATGAATTATTAAAATAAACATCTTAACCATATTCAAATATATCAAATGCTAGTATTTAAAAGATGAAAGCTTGGGTTGAGAAATACAGATAAATGGAATAAAATATATCTAATGTTGAAAAAAAAAGATAAGAAGTTAGAGAGAAATTTTTTTGTGTCATTTTCTATGGGGTTTAAGAATTAAAAGATATGTGGCAGAAAGATTAAAATTCTATTAATTAATAAGAAAAGGAAATTATTACTTTGTCAGACTCAATATTATTTTAATATATAAAAAATTTGGCTTTAGATATAGAAGTATTTAATCACATTAAATTCAATGTTTAACAAAAAGGAAGGTTAGAAACTCATTATGTAGATAGATGCAAATTAATTTACTTACATATGAAGGATGATAAAAATTTTGAATTAAGAAGAAAGGTTATATCTAAAGAATTTAAAGCTTAAGATCTTTGTACAAGAGATGAAAGAGAGTTGTATAATCCTGAAAAAAGAAAATAAACTTAAGAAATAGCTATGAGAGTTATTGAACTTAATTAAAAGGAATAAGATGATGAAGAAAAGATGACTAAGGATATGGAAGAAGTTTCTTTTAAGGAATATGTAATTATATATTTATTTATTTAGAAATCTAATAATGAAGAAGTTTAAATTTCATAAATAATGAATGATGGGCATTTTTAAAAAGACTAAAATAAAAATAAATTGATGGGATATTCGGTTGAGAAATCTTTATCAAGATTTAAGAGAAGAATTGAAGATGAATTAATTGAAACTGAAAGACTATAAATTTTAGCTAGCATAGAATAATATCATCATATGAGATGAAAATATTTATTTTTGTTTTATTAAATTCTAAACATTCTTTTTAATTAGTAAAATTATTTTCAAATTAATAAAATAAGATTGAATTAGAATATTTCAAATTTCTTCTTCTTTTCTATTTTTCAATAATAGAAAATTACAAATGTATTATTAAATAATTATGTTTGTTTATTTTTGAACACAAAAGGAATTACAAAATATTAAGGAAATATTCAATTTAAAGATCTTATTATTTTTATTTTAATTGAATTAAATTTTACATAATTCTTTAATAGTTAATATAAATTTTATACTCATCTTTCTTTATTAAATAAATAATTTGTAGAAATTATTTTTATCATAATTTAATTAATGTTCAATAAGGTTTAACCTAAATAAAATACCGAGGAATCATAAAAAGTTTAAACTATAACAGAAGCTATGCAAAAATATGATGTTAGATTCCCTGTTCCTGGTAGTTAGAATCAAACAGGATCTTTTTTGGCTATAGATTGTGAAATGGTTGAATGTGAAAATGAGATTGGAGCTAGTGTATAAATGCTTGCTAGAATTACAGTTGTTAATTATAATGGTTATGTTGTTTTGGATCAATATTATAAACCAAGATTTAAGGTGTTAAATTATATTACACGAATTTCTGGAATTACTCCATAAATAATTAAAGATAAACCAGTTTATAATGACTTTGAAAAATAAAAGCTTTAACTTTTATTCAAAGGTAAATATAAGCAATTATTTTATAGATAAGACTATAATTGGACATACTTTAAAAAGTGATTTTGATGCTATGGAATTTAATCTAGAGGATTACTAAACCAGAGACCTTATGAAAGTGGACTTTTTGAAATTAGAAGAAGGATCAAGTAATATTATAAATAATATGAGGGTTTAAAAAAGATGTGTTTGAAGTATTTGGGTCAAAATATTTAATAAGGATAACATAGTTCTGAAATTGATGCAAGAGCTGCCTTATTTATATTCAGAAAATTTAGAAATGAAATAAATTTGTATTATAAGTAATTAGATTGGGAAAAGGACAAATAAAAAAAATAGAATTCAAAAAATTCATAAAAGAATTAAAAAAATTTACAAAAAAGATCATAAAAGTAGGTACAAAGTAAAAAGGTTGAAAACAAAAGATAATAAAGTGAAAAACCTTTGGCAGAAAATGATAAAAAAAAGCAAGTTTAAATTTTAAAGAAATAAATATCAAAAAAGAAAAGTTCATGATGTTAGCATTAAAAAGCTTAATATTAATTTAAAAATATGTATAACATTAAAATTTCTCCCAAACTAAAATCAGATGATAGGTCTATAATGAATTAAATATTGAAAGAAGAAGCATTTTTCTTAAATCAGAAACAAGGCGATATTCATTCTTTTGTTTTAGATGATGATTAAGATTAGCTTCTTAACAAATTATATAATATTCATAAGATGACTAATATAGACAAAGAGAATTACACTAAACATATTAGCTATTGTGTTAGAAATTTAGGATAAAAATCTATTGATAAATTGCCTACCATTATGGAAAAATATGTAATATAGTTGTAATATATTATTTAGAAAACTGAAGATGAAAGATTTTAAATAATGTTTATAGAATAACTCAATTTAATTTATGAAGCATCTTAATAAGCTTAATAACCTGTCATATAAATTTTAAGCTATTTTTTATTGAATAGCATTTTGAAAATCAAAGAACTTGCAGGTTAATAATTAACAAAAATTGCTCTTCATTTATAAGGTGATGAAAAAGGAAATTAATTATTACCAATCATAATCAAGATGGCACATGATGATCTTAATTAAGATAATAGAATAGTAGCTTTATAATTAATGGGTAAACTCTCATCAATGTTTGGGATATAATTAAGTGAATCTTTTATAGCTTTTGAAGTAATGTCTCTAGGAGAAGATTCAAAATAAGATGTAAGAAAAGAAGCAGTAAATCAATTACCTTTGGTTGCAAAAGTGGTAGGAAAAGACTTTTTTAATAAAAAATTGTTTCCATTCTACATGAAAAGATGTAAAGAACTAAACACAAAAGTAAAGCAAGCATGTGTTGAGCATTTTTTATAAATTGTAGAATTGTCATCATAAAATTAAAAAATTGTTGATCTTACACCACAGTTATTATAATTCTAAAAGTAATGAGATAATTACATTTTTAGCGATTCTAATAAATATGTTAAAGGTGTAGCTTATAGATGTTTAGCTAGATTTATTGCAGCAATTGAATAAGACAAAATTGATCCAAAATTAATTGAAAATTATTTAAAAATGGCTGATTCAGATATAAGAGAATTACTACCTGAATAATAAGTTATGTTTGCATGTGCTTATGGTTTTCCTGCAGTTTTATAGACAGTTGGAGTTGCAAGATGGTAATAATTGCATAAATTATTTAATCATTTATGGAAATAAAAAAATGAAAGAATTTGTAAGACTTTAGCAGCCAGTCTTCATGAAATTGCTAAAATTATTGGAGCAGAGAGAGCTGAAATAGATTTATTTCCTATTTTAGAGACTATATTTGTAAAAGAACCAAATGATAATGTATTAATGGGTTGTGTTAAGAATTTATCATAATTTTTGAAGATATTTTCAGATGAAAAGAAAGAGGCATTTTTAGAAATCTTTTTTTTTATTTAGAAAGATTAAAAAAAATGGAGAATTAGAGAATCAATAGCTAATTAATTAGATGAAATGGCTCTTATATTTCCAGCAGATATTATATTTAAAATGATTATTCCTATTGCTTTTAAATTATGCACTGATAATGTAGCATAAGTTAGAAAAATAGCATCTTCTAAAATTTATTCTTTTTTTGAAGGAATAAAAAATTCAACTTTGTCTGAATAATATAGAATATGCTTAATAGAAAGTATGATTGGCTTTTAAAAATCATCAGTATTTTATCAAAGATAATCGTAAATTTTCATAATTTATAAATAGATTTATTTAAATGTGTATAAAAATAATGAATTTAGAGGATGACATCTTTGAAAAATATCTTCTAAATCCTTTCGTAGAATTAGCTTAAGACAAAGTTTAGAGCATAAAATATATGTTATATATGGCTATAGAAAATCATATTAAAAATTAAGGTAATTATTGAATTTAAAATTTATAAGGAAGATATTCAAAAAATTAATAATTACTTGATGTAATTAATTTACTATCAAATGATAAGGCAATTAAATCTCTTGTTAAATATCAACCAACTTAGGAAGTCTAACTTTAAGAGCCAGAAGTATAATAATAATAAGAAAATCTAAATACTAATAAAGAATCTTCTTCTATTTAGGAGACTTAGTTAGAAGAAATTGATGATGATGAGATTCCTTTAAGATAAGTAAAAGAAGAACCTAAAATCTTAAAATAATTGAAAGAAGAAAAATAAGAAATAATGAAAAGATAAGAAGATATTTAAAAATAATAATTAAATGAAGAATAAGATGTTAATATAGTTGAATAAATTGGTTAATTATCTTTAAATGAAAATGAGGAAACAAATTAATAAGCTGATTAAACTACTGAATGTATTAAAGATTCTTAATCAGATTTTATTATAAATAATAATGAGTCTCAAGAATTATAATAATTTGAATAATTATAAGGTTAAGGTGAATAAATATAAAAGCAGAGTGATGAAGAATTAATAAATGAAGAATAATAATAAGGATCATAAAGTGATTAAAAAGAGTTAAATACTGAAGAAGATGCTTAATAATTTTGAGAATTTTCTGTGACAATAATTATTTATAGATATTTAAGATAGTCAGTTTACTTGTGTATGAAGTTTAAAAATTTATCTTTTGAATCTACTTTATCTCTAAGTATTTTCAATATATTCTTTGCCAATCAACCCTGCTTCATTTATTGTTTCAATTTATGGATTAAATTTAACACTCTTTTTCTTAGTGCTGGAATTTCCTTGAAAAACGAGAGTTCCCATATTCTTTATTGGGGTTTTAGAAAAATATTTATTTTCTTATTATTATGTATCTTAATGGTTTCTATTAGGAGAATTCTGATGTGATAAGAATTAAAATTCGTTCACTTCAGTTTATGTTGATTTTCGAAGATGAGAAAATCTTCCAATTTTAGGGAGTTTAACATACTCTCTTTCTGTTGAGATTTGAATGATTTCTGTAGGCTTATGAGACAAGTCTTCATGCTAGACCTATTTTTATTATTAAATAGTAGGCAAAGAATTATTGACAATGCTATTTATATCATTTAGGAAAAGTGAGGGTCTTAAAGATCTGCTTTGATTACTTGTAAGTCTTTATTTATCATCATTACGGGTTTATGCCAATTTTTACAACAGTAGATGTTATTATTCGGTGATTATGAACATATTAATGTTAAAATATAAAAATGATAATGTTGTATTGTGTTGAATATTTAAAATATTTATTTCCAATAATACAATTGAAATGAATTGAATCACTTTGTTTATGAAAAGATAAGAATTACTCATTTTTCAAGATTAATTTAAATAATATTTATCTATATTTGTTTTTATTAGTTATCATAACTTATCTACAAATTATCCATTTTCAAAAATAATAGAGTAAACATGTAACTAAACAGACTAAGATATTTATTAAATTTACAATTTTTAATTTATAGTTTTCAACTAAATATTAATTCATTTTAGTGATCTCCTAAATTTTGAATAATTATATCAAATGAGGAAATTGGAATAGGAATATAATAGAAATTTTATAGTTAAACTAAAAGACACTTGAATTTATTATATTAATATATAAGTGCTTGAGTATAATTTATGAAAAATTCAAATCTTTTTAATAATTAATGGCATTTGTTAAGCTTGTTAAAGGAAAACCATATTTCAAAAGATTCTAAACATAATTCAGAAGAAGAAGAGAAGGAAAGACTGATTATTATGCAAGAAGCAGATTAATTGTATAAGACAAGGATAAATATAATTCCCCAAAATATAGATTTGTTGTTAGACACACAAATACTAAAATCATTTGCTAAGTCATTTATGCTACATTGAAAGGTGACAAAGTAGTGGCATCTGCTGAATCAACTGAATTAAAGAGATTTGGTTTGACAACTGGATTAAAAAATTATGCTGCTTCATATGCCACAGGATTATTATTAGCCAGAAGAACACTTAAGACATTGAAAATGGATAAATTCTATGAAGGAAATAAAAATATTGATGGAAACTTATATGATGTAGCTGATAAAGAGAATCCAGAAAGAAGACCATTCTTTGCTGTTCTTGATATTGGTTTGGTTAGATCAACTCTTGGTAATAGAGTATTTGCTGCCTTAAAGGGAGCTGCTGATGGTGGTATTCACATCCCACACAATAACAGAAGATTCCCAGGATTCTCTGTTGATAATGATAAGAAAGAGAAATATGATGCCAATGCTCACAAAGACNTCCAATTTTAGGGAGTTTAACATACTCTCTTTCTGTTGAGATTTGAATGATTTCTGTAGGCTTATGAGACAAGTCTTCATGCTAGACCTATTTTTATTATTAAATAGTAGGCAAAGAATTATTGACAATGCTATTTATATCATTTAGGAAAAGTGAGGGTCTTAAAGATCTGCTTTGATTACTTGTAAGTCTTTATTTATCATCATTACGGGTTTATGCCAATTTTTACAACAGTAGATGTTATTATTCGGTGATTATGAACATATTAATGTTAAAATATAAAAATGATAATGTTGTATTGTGTTGAATATTTAAAATATTTATTTCCAATAATACAATTGAAATGAATTGAATCACTTTGTTTATGAAAAGATAAGAATTACTCATTTTTCAAGATTAATTTAAATAATATTTATCTATATTTGTTTTTATTAGTTATCATAACTTATCTACAAATTATCCATTTTCAAAAATAATAGAGTAAACATGTAACTAAACAGACTAAGATATTTATTAAATTTACAATTTTTAATTTATAGTTTTCAACTAAATATTAATTCATTTTAGTGATCTCCTAAATTTTGAATAATTATATCAAATGAGGAAATTGGAATAGGAATATAATAGAAATTTTATAGTTAAACTAAAAGACACTTGAATTTATTATATTAATATATAAGTGCTTGAGTATAATTTATGAAAAATTCAAATCTTTTTAATAATTAATGGCATTTGTTAAGCTTGTTAAAGGAAAACCATATTTCAAAAGATTCTAAACATAATTCAGAAGAAGAAGAGAAGGAAAGACTGATTATTATGCAAGAAGCAGATTAATTGTATAAGACAAGGATAAATATAATTCCCCAAAATATAGATTTGTTGTTAGACACACAAATACTAAAATCATTTGCTAAGTCATTTATGCTACATTGAAAGGTGACAAAGTAGTGGCATCTGCTGAATCAACTGAATTAAAGAGATTTGGTTTGACAACTGGATTAAAAAATTATGCTGCTTCATATGCCACAGGATTATTATTAGCCAGAAGAACACTTAAGACATTGAAAATGGATAAATTCTATGAAGGAAATAAAAATATTGATGGAAACTTATATGATGTAGCTGATAAAGAGAATCCAGAAAGAAGACCATTCTTTGCTGTTCTTGATATTGGTTTGGTTAGATCAACTCTTGGTAATAGAGTATTTGCTGCCTTAAAGGGAGCTGCTGATGGTGGTATTCACATCCCACACAATAACAGAAGATTCCCAGGATTCTCTGTTGATAATGATAAGAAAGAGAAATATGATGCCAATGCTCACAAAGACAGAATCTTTGGTGTTCATGTTGATAAATATATGGCTCTCTTATAAAAGGAAAAGAAGACAAATAAAGATGGAAGATCTAAATTTGATGTCTAATTCCACAATTGGGAATAAACATTGAAGACTGTATATTGTAATTTTTATATAAATAGACTGGTGCCAAATCAGTTTAAGAATTATTCAAGAAAATTCACGATGAAATTAGAAAGAATAGTGATAGAGTAAAGAGAGGTGTTAAATAAAATCCAAAGAGAGACCATACTAAATTCAGAGCCAAGAGATTAAATGCTAAATAAAGAAGAGCTAATGCTTTAAAAAAAATCGATATTGCAACCAAATAAGCTGCAAAATTAAAGAAGAAGGCATGATTTCATTTATATTTGGTACATTATAAAATATCCTTTATCTATTCTATTATTGTATGTATTTTATTAAAATAATTAATTATGATCCAAACTCATAATGAATAATGTGATCATTTCTAAAAAGATGAACTTAATGCATTATCTGCTATCTATTTATCAGACTATGAGTAATTAAAAGATGTGCATCCTTATTCATTTTAAATAATTGTTGCCCCATTTGTACCAGCAGATTAATTTTATCATGAGAATGTAGTTTATTGCAAAATATTCATTGCCTTTCCTGATGATTATCCATTAAAATCATAAAGATTTCATTTTGAAATTTAAGGGTTGAGTAGAAATTTCACTTAGGATAATTTAATAAGAGCAAGAAAGGTTTGTGAATAAGTAATTGAACAACATGAAAAAGAAGCAGATTGTTAACCAATAGTCTTTGCAGTTGTTGAATCATTAAGAGTAATAATGTTAATTACATTTTAGGATTATGTTTATGATCAATCTATGTATTTATAAGAATTATATGATCAATAAAACTCAAAGACTGAAGATAACTATATATATATACCACCCATGCCTAAATTTGCAACAAACACTCCTGTTACACTTGAAAGTTTTACCATTTGGAAGAAGAAGTTTGATTAAGAGATTTATGAAATTAAAAAGAGAGAAAAGAATTTTACATAATTAGAAGAAATGATGAAAAAAATTAGTGGAAAGTAATATTTTGATAGAAAACAAAACAAAGAAGATGATAATGAAGTCTTAGAAATTATTAATGAGGATGATGATATTGTTGAATTAGAAGATGAAGATTATTAAGGAGAAGAAGATGATAATGATGAAGAAGATCAAGATAGACCTGTAATTATATATTATTTATTTTTTAGTTGTATGAAAGAGAATAACTTGAATGATTTATATAATTATGCAATTATCTATAAATATTGAATTACTTGATGGTTGGACCAAACATCATTTCTATAGAACTAGCTATTAAACTATGAGAAATTAAGACTAAATCCTTCTCAAAAATTCAGCCATTCCTGGTTATTCTGGGCATATCCCATATACCAAATCAGAAAATATATTTGGCAGACCTTTCTCAGCAATTACAAGAGAAGCATTTAATCATGTTCCTATTAATAATGAAAAATGGAATACTTCTACAAAGGTTTAATTTAAAAATCCTAAAGTATTGGTTTCTCCTACATATCGCTAAACTGATAAAGTATTAAAGAACTAGAAGTTTCGAAATTCTGGTTATCTATAAAATAACAGTACTGGAGATTAAAAAGGATGGAAAACTCATAAGAGTATTAGAGGGAATAATAAAGTTACAGAATATAGATATGCTTATGATTCTAAATATGAAAAAAAATTATGATAATTATTATTTATATTTCATGTCAACTTAGTATAGAGTTCCTTCTAATGACAATTACATTCGTGATTTAGAAAATATCTCTTAAAGGTATAATTAAAACATAATGAAAGAGAGCGTCATGGATTATTTAATTAGCCACCACCTTTATTATTGGGGGATTAATATAACGATGCTTTGAAAAGTATTCAATATTTTCTAATTATGAAGGCTAAGGCAAAGAGAAAGGAATTCTAATTAATAAAAAACTCTAAAAAAAACATGAACCTGCTTTGTTTTCAGAACCTGGCTATACAACATTAAATGACCCATATAAAGATTCATTTAAAGCTAAATAAATTTATGATAAAGAGAAAGAATTGGCTATTAAAAATCCCAATAGTTTCAAACCAAATGACNTTTGCAGTTGTTGAATCATTAAGAGTAATAATGTTAATTACATTTTAGGATTATGTTTATGATCAATCTATGTATTTATAAGAATTATATGATCAATAAAACTCAAAGACTGAAGATAACTATATATATATACCACCCATGCCTAAATTTGCAACAAACACTCCTGTTACACTTGAAAGTTTTACCATTTGGAAGAAGAAGTTTGATTAAGAGATTTATGAAATTAAAAAGAGAGAAAAGAATTTTACATAATTAGAAGAAATGATGAAAAAAATTAGTGGAAAGTAATATTTTGATAGAAAACAAAACAAAGAAGATGATAATGAAGTCTTAGAAATTATTAATGAGGATGATGATATTGTTGAATTAGAAGATGAAGATTATTAAGGAGAAGAAGATGATAATGATGAAGAAGATCAAGATAGACCTGTAATTATATATTATTTATTTTTTAGTTGTATGAAAGAGAATAACTTGAATGATTTATATAATTATGCAATTATCTATAAATATTGAATTACTTGATGGTTGGACCAAACATCATTTCTATAGAACTAGCTATTAAACTATGAGAAATTAAGACTAAATCCTTCTCAAAAATTCAGCCATTCCTGGTTATTCTGGGCATATCCCATATACCAAATCAGAAAATATATTTGGCAGACCTTTCTCAGCAATTACAAGAGAAGCATTTAATCATGTTCCTATTAATAATGAAAAATGGAATACTTCTACAAAGGTTTAATTTAAAAATCCTAAAGTATTGGTTTCTCCTACATATCGCTAAACTGATAAAGTATTAAAGAACTAGAAGTTTCGAAATTCTGGTTATCTATAAAATAACAGTACTGGAGATTAAAAAGGATGGAAAACTCATAAGAGTATTAGAGGGAATAATAAAGTTACAGAATATAGATATGCTTATGATTCTAAATATGAAAAAAAATTATGATAATTATTATTTATATTTCATGTCAACTTAGTATAGAGTTCCTTCTAATGACAATTACATTCGTGATTTAGAAAATATCTCTTAAAGGTATAATTAAAACATAATGAAAGAGAGCGTCATGGATTATTTAATTAGCCACCACCTTTATTATTGGGGGATTAATATAACGATGCTTTGAAAAGTATTCAATATTTTCTAATTATGAAGGCTAAGGCAAAGAGAAAGGAATTCTAATTAATAAAAAACTCTAAAAAAAACATGAACCTGCTTTGTTTTCAGAACCTGGCTATACAACATTAAATGACCCATATAAAGATTCATTTAAAGCTAAATAAATTTATGATAAAGAGAAAGAATTGGCTATTAAAAATCCCAATAGTTTCAAACCAAATGACCACTAAAAATCTGTGTATATAATTTAACTTATTCAGTAAACATTCTGAATTTGAACATATGAAGGAATATAATGATAAAATCTATAAAACTCGAAATTCAGCTGGAAATGTAATCACTTAAGCTAGAAATTTTTTGACTAACCCTGCAAAAAAAGGATTAGGCAGAACTACAATAAATAATTTATTTAGTTAGATAGAATACATTCCTGATCCTTATGATAGATAAGAAGAAATGGATAGATAAGAGAGAATATAACACAAAAGCAAATAATTACCTGGAACAACAAGATTTATCACTACTAGTCATGGAAATAGACCCTTTACTTCAGATGGTATCTTATTAGATGGAGCAGGATATACAATATGTAATAAATAAATGACCATTTAGAAAAAAAACCACCTCTTTATAAAGGAAATCCATTCAGGCCATCAAACTAAAATAAAAAAGGATTTTAAGGAACTTTTGAAGTACTTCAATATATGGAAGAAGGAGGCCCGGATATAAAAACAAAACAAAATACCTTTGAAAAATTGAGTGCTACCTAAACATTTGAAAAACCATGGAGACCTAATTCTAATGGAACATTTGCTAGACCTTGTCCGAGTGTTTCATAATAAATAAGGAATAGAAGTGCTGGATCAAATTAAAGAGTATGAAATGCTTATGATAAAATTTTCATATCTAAAAATTTTATGTTTCCTTTTTATCCTTTATATTTATTCTTACATTTAGTTTATTAATGTGTATATAGTATTATAAATAGGAACAACATTTAGATTGTTAAATGTTATAAAAATATAATTTATAATCTTATTTTTCTGTTAAAATATAAATTAACATTGAATAAATAATTTTTTAGAACACTTTTTTTAGTAATTTTTTGAGATAATACAAATCGATACAACAAAATTTGATCTATTTTTTAATTTAATTTTAATGTATAAGGAGAATAAATGTTCCCGTTTCAAAAAATCAAAAAAGCAAATTGACACTCTTAATGACTTTTACTAAAAATAATAAATATGGGGATAAAATACTATTAAAGAAATAGCCAACGTAACCAATTTACCAAAAGAAAAGATATATAAATGGTATTGGGATCAAAACAAAAAATTCAAGCAGGAGATTCCAACAGATATTATAGAAGGAGAGATCATTGTTAAATAAGATCATTTGACTTCAAACACCCATGAAATATTATATTGTAATGGACTCTAAATAAATTAAGAAGTGGATGAAAATTTAAAAAATAAGCTAATTAAATTAGCTAGAGATTTGATTTTAATCAAATGAGGATTATTCATTTTTAATTAAGTTAAAATCCATTTTCCATTATATATTTATTTTATTTAAAGTGGAAACGTTATTCATAAATTTGTTTGTCAATATACTCATATTTATTTTTTTCTTAATTTTATGTTCAGATAAAAAAATATAAAATTTTATTTTCTTAAATTAAATAAAGAGAAAGGTAAAATAAGACAAGAAAGAATTATTAACAAGTACTCACAGTATTCTATTTATATAATATCTTATTATTGCAAACTAAATGTAAAGGAAAATTTATATTTTAAATTAAAAATGAAAAATGATAATTCGCTTGTAAATTAATAAGCTAAGAGTAATCTAAACAATCAAAATTAATCTCCAAGAAAATAATATGCTCCTTAAGATACTATGTCATAGATTATATAATTCAATCCTTAAACTTCAAATCTGAAATCCTCATCTCCTCATAGACCAAAAGATTAACCAAAGCAAAGTTTCTATTTTGTTTAGGATGATGGTTTAAGACAATATGATACTTAGGAAAAAGTTAAGAATAACTAAAATATTACATAATAGTTAACAAATAGAAACGATAAATAAAGAAAACAAGTTGATCTATCAAGTAATGTATTTGAGAATACTAAAATTATTGATATGAAAGCTAAATCACCTGAAAATTAATAATTAATTAATACATCAATCTAATGGACAAATGTGCATTATGGTAAAGTACTCACATCTGTGAATGAGAAAGCAGAATTTGATAAAGATTATGCTAAATAAAGAAAACATTAAGAGTTACAACAATAATATTAGGATGGTTCAACTCATAAGAGTCCTTCTAAAATAATAGAGAATGAGATTAATATTTAATCTAAGAAATAAAATCAATAATTCTCTGATCTTTTTGGATAAGAATTAGGGAATAAAGAAAGAAAGTGGTTAAGACCATAGCGTAGTCTTTCACCTTAAATAAAATGGACAACATTTGATAGTAATAGAGATTATAAAGATTTTGGTGATATGAGTATTAAAGTAAATCTCATATATTATTATATAGGAATCTAAATTACGTAATATAAATACTGATAATCAAAAAGATAATCAGAAAGATATTCATAAATTAAATCACCCTTTGACTTCACCATTTTTTGATGTAAAATATATAATAATAATATTGATAGTGTCAAATGTCCTATGAAAAAATAAAAGGGTAATATAAATAATAGAATTAATTAAAATAATTAGAGAGTGTATAATCAAAGAAATTTGGATAAGAAAAAAAGATAGAATAGAGTAATAGTAATAAAAAATATGAGGGTCTTTACTCATGGAAAAACAATTATTAAAAATGAAATTATTTTATTTATTTATTTATTGTTGTAATATGTAATAATTGATGAATAATTACATTGAATATCTAAAAGAGGGAGTTTAGATGAATAAAGTAGAAATTGAAGATTATGGTGGTATGTTTGGGATTAAAGCTATTGATAATATTGAATCAGGCGAATTTCTTATTAAAGTTTCTCATATATTTGCAATTAGCGCATTCACAGTATTCTAAAATGAATAATGTGTAGATATTATGAAGAAGAATCCTCATATTTATCCATCATTGAATTAAATTGGTAACAAAAAAAGTGATTTCCAAACATTAATTCTTTATTTAACAACATAAAGACATGGAAAATTAAAACCAATTTTTGATGTTTCATCAAATCCTATTTGTTTGCTTGATTGTGATCAACCAATTCCATTTGATTATTTAAGAGAATTGAAATAAGAATTTGAAGAAGAATATTAGGCAGCAAAAGATGAAGTAATGGAAATAGGATTAAATGCTGATGATTATGATTGGGCATATAGATATTGTATGAATAGAAGACTAAGTGTTAATAATGATTATCCTTTTTCATTTTTAGTACCTATGATAGATATGATAAATCATGGTAAGAATAAAGCTATCTTTGGATTAGAATAAGAAAATTATAAATAAGAAGAATACATATAAAATAATTATATGAAATTTAAATATATTTCCTAAAATAAATATTGGTTTAGTCAAGAGGATTAAGAAATAATAGAGGGTTTAAAAGTAAATGAGAGTGAAAGATGTTCTAAAATATTAAATAAATTATTAGTAAAATTGTTTTAGGAATTACTTAGAACAGGAGCACCAGATATTTGGGTTACAAAATTAATGATACCTGATGATTCAGAGGATGAAGATGAGCCTACTACTGAATAAAGCAATCATTAATTATAATAATTAAATACCAAAGATTCAAAAGTCTAAGCTGCAGTAAATGATGATTATCTTAGAGATTACTATGAATAATCTTTGGATTAAAGTGATCATGATTGGTACACAGATATTCAACAATCAACTCTTAAATGTCCAGCATATCTTACAGCAAGAGCAGTAGATGATATAGAGAAAGGAGAGTAAGTTTTAAATTTATATGGATGTTTAGGTAATGAACATCTCCTGATGTATTATGGATTTGCGCTCAATAAGAATAAATATGATAGAGTTAAATTCAGAATTTTTATGGATTGCAATACAAAATATGATTTCCTTACAAATATTGAAAAATTAGTATAATTACATTATGTTCCATATAAAGAACTTATAAATTTAAGTACAAGAGGAATCAGTCTAAATTAATTAACTTCTGAATTTAAAATAAAGAAAAGTTAATTCAATTTAGATTTAATTAAATTCCTTAGAACATATCTTCAATTATTAGATGGAGATGAATTAATTAATGAAGAGATCATTATAGTTCTTTATAGAAGAATTATTAATTCTTTATACAAAAAGATTACATCTCCAATCATTCCAAGAGATACTAATTGGGGAGAATAACTTTTTAATTATTAACATTCCAAAGCTAGAATATTAAAAGCCCATTTAGAAATGATAGACAACTTGACAACAAAGCCAGAAAAAATGGATATCAAAGTGTTTATGAGATTAAGAGCATATTTACTTAAATAAAACTGAAATATTATTATTTTTTCTATTATCAAGCATATTCTTCTTCTAATAGTTCTGGATATTCCTTATCTATCTTTAAGACTAATTCTCCAAATAATCCATTTGCCCATGCAAACCAAGATCTTGTGAAACTAGAAGGATTATCTTTGAAAAAGCTTTCATGCATAAACCATTTATTTCCTGTGGTTGTTACTAACATTCTTAAGCATTCTCTCAATTCTTATTTATCATTAGTAGTCAATCCTTGAGTTACAATAGCCATTGGCCATATGTAATTAGCCCCAATATGAGGACCTCCAATGCCTTTGGCTGCTGTTCCCACAAAATAATAAGGATTAGCAGAACTTAATGCTTTTTTTCTAGTTGCTTGATATAAGGGATCATCAATTTCAATAAATCCATAAATAGGAAGAGAAAGTAAACTTGGTTGATTTGAATCATCCATAAATACTTACTTACCCATTCCATCAACTTCATAAACAAATGCACCATCCTTTATTCCATATTTGTAGATAGCATCTTTAATTTCTGAAGATAATGCAATAGCCTCTTAAATTAAAGGTTCAGCTGCTTTTCTTAAAGACCAAGTTAATTAAGCTTCACTTAACATTTCAGCTGTTTATTTTAAGATTGCTGAAGCCATAGCATTTTCTGGAATATTAAATTAATAGATTGTGGAATCATCAGATGCTCTAAAAAATGTTCTTAATAATCCTGTTCTTTTAAGTGGTTCTCCTATTCCATTAATAACTGTATCAGTTGATCTACCATTTCTTTAAAAAGTATAAGGAAATCTGAATGTTTTAAATTGTTCTGTTTGATCTGCTTATTAATCTCTAAATGTTCTCAGTATTCTTTGAACAGCCTTTAAATATTTAAAATTTATGATTGAAGTGTCATTAGTTTCTTTGTAATAACCATAAGAAAGTCTTAAAACAGCCACTAATGAATCAATTTCAAATTTTCTCTCATGAAGATGTTCAGACATTGCATGTACATTGACACCTAAAAAACATCGAGTTGTATTATCAGAACTCCATTCTGATTATTTTTTTTAATAATTAAATGCATTTGCATATGGATCAATTAAGACTTAATTGATTTAACGTGTTATTGCTCCTTTAACTAAATGTTATAATTTGCTATCTTTATTTACAAACTCCATATATGTCCATAACTAATTAGTACTATCTCTTAACCACATAGCTGTTATATCTCCAGTGATTACAAAGGCATCTGGTATGTTTGGATCATAATTTGTTACTGTTGTATCAAGAGTGTTTGGAAATGAATTTATAAATGTATATTTAAGTTTGTTATCCTTCATTTTGTTAGAGATCTAATAATTAGTTTGTATATATATACTCTTGTTATTGTTTTTTCTATTATTTCAGATTCGAATTTCTTTTAGGCAGGTCTCTAATTTGATTATGCTAAAAGATTGCTAATGAGTAAAGAAACAATTATGATGAAATTCATAATATATTAATTAAAATGAAGCTTTATTCTTATAGTAATAATATATATCATATTTAAAAGAACCAAAATAAATGGGATACCTTAATTATTTTAATTTATATATATTAATGTCTCTGTTCAGCAAATTTACATCTCTGTTTCATTCAAATTCAGCTGTTAATATTCATTAAAGTGAATAGAACAAGTTTTAAGAAATTCTAAGCTCGATTATGGGTCCTTATGTTCAATTTGATTTAAAATAGATGACAAAAATGATGGCACAATACCTGACCAAAAATGATAGTAATAAATTGTTAAATACAATTAGGTTATATTGACATTCTCTTTAATTATATTTAAGAGTATAAGCCAATTGCAGGAAGCACAGCTTTAATTCAATTATTATCTGTTATCCACTAAATGTTCCATTGTACAGATATCACTTAAGAGATATCAATAAAACTCAAAGATTGTCGTATAAAAAAAATAGAACAATAAGATTAAGATAATCTAGTTACAGAACCTGACTTGATGACTCGTATGAAGAACGAATAATTTTATACAGAGATGAACGTTAGCGAGGATCTAAGCATTTAATAATTTACTTATGCATATTTTAGTTATCTATAACGTCTAGCCGCTAATATCGATCTTTATAGAGCAGCTTGTCGTAATTCATATCCTTATCTAAATGATAAAGATCATGTTGAGCCTAAGTTAATGTTCTTATGGCATTATAAAATGCAAAATCTTATTAATACTGCAGCAATTCTTTTGAAATCTGAAATGAATATCTCTGAAATATAGAAATACATTTACTTTGATGTATGGAGATTCTAGAGTTTTATATGTTTTGAAGTGGAAAAGATAATAGATAAATATATAACTCTACCTAATTCTGATGCACTTAGTTTATATGAAATCTATTGTGAATCTAAAAGACACTATGAATAACTTATGAAGTTTAAGGATACAACAAAAAGACTGAAACGTAATCTAAATTTAAATTTTTAGTTTAAACTCCAATTTAATGTTAATTAGACAATAATGAATTATAAGAGTTCCTTAATTTTATTTCTAAATTAAAAGTTCTCAATTAGATGGCATTCAAAAAATCTCTGAAGGTTCCAAATAAATAAAATCCTTGTATGGGAATTCCTTAAAAAAATCCTCAAGTTTAAATTTATTTATATTTTAGTTACTTCATTTAAGATCTTCTTCAGGGAAAAATAGGAATGATCAAGAAAGATTGAATAGTGAAGAAAGTATGGAAGAAAAAGATAAAGTTATTGATATGAGTGAAACAAAGAAAAAAATGAAAAAAATACATATACGTGGTTAGAGTACATTCTAATTAAATTGATTCATATATTTATGTTTCCAATATTATTAAGTCTCTTCACAATCTCTTGGTGTAGCATTGAGGAAACCAAAGAAATCATGCAAGATTGGGATAAATATATGAGAGGCTTTCTACCTGATGATATGATCTCATTCTAAATTGAAAAAGGAGGAGAAGAAATATTTATTGAGACAATTAAGAAAACACCTACTAATATAAGAGGCACCTTCTTTATTCCAATCTACACTATGGATACTATAGATTTTAAAGTTATTGATCCTTCTGGTTCAATGATTTATACAAAAATGATGAAAAAGGAAGCAGTATTCAATTTCAATGCCACAGAAAAAGGAGATTATTAATTGATATTTTAAAACAAGAGAGCAAAAGAGTCAAAAGTTGTTTAATTTGCTATTGATGTAGCTAAATCTGACAAAGGTATATCTTGCATTGATATCGTTTTTATTAGAAGAGATAGAGTAAAATGATATAGATCCTATTGAAAATGGAGTTTAAGGAGTCTTATAGAAAATCAGAGATGTTTTCTATAGTACAAAATTGAATGAATTGAAATCTAAAGGTGCTTTGGCTGATGTATAAAAGATAAATAAACAATTGATGATATTAACATTTATAGAAACAGTGGCTATTTGTGGAGTGACAGCATGGTAAGTATATTACATAAAGAAATTGCTTAATGATAGAAGATTAGTGTGATTATGTTAATATATTTATTCTTCGAATTCAATTCAATTAAATGTCAAATCATAATAATAACTGAGTTACAACATTGAATTACAATCTAATCGTCTCAAACCATTAGAATATTTACATCCTTAAAGTAAATTCCTTAAAATTCATTCTAGAAATTGTCATTGATATTCAATAATAGAAGATCCTATACAATAGTAATCTTACATTGTTCCAACTTTCCCTAATGTTCCAAAAAATATCAAGAAAGCATTTAGAATGAATAAATCATAATACTTTTGTGAAAAGATAACTAAAATTGGATCAGGAAATTTAACTATCATTTTTAAATGTAATACTATTCTTGAATAATCCATAAATGCAATAAAAAGACAAATGCATCACCTTAACAATACTTAGAAATCGAATCAAAGCCAAAAGATGACTACATTTTTGAAAAGTTATTTCTTAAAAGTGATTAATTATTCAGTTTTATAATTGCTGGATAGAATAGAATTAGTTTTTATTAAATGTAGAATACTCTGATCATAATCTAATGCATTAAATAAAATATTAAGAATTGGAAATTAAAACTATATTAAACCATATATTTAAATAGCAAGAAATTAGTAGATATAGACATTAAACAAGAAAAAATAAAATCGATTTCAACGATTTAATAATAATTAACATCTTTAAAAGATGTAAATAAATAAACTATCTATTTATTTATTTAAGAATTATATATTCTGATTCTTTAATTTAAACTGTTTGTAAGATGATAGATCCTAAATCAAAAAGATAGACTTACTGCTAAATAATCATTAATATCATAAATATATTGATTATTTATTTCAAAGAATTCTAATGTAAAATCAACTATTTTACATTTTTTAGAAAAACCAACTTTTTCATTTAAAAAATGAAAGAATAAGAAAATCACAAGCAGAAGAACTATAAATAAGAAGAATATATATTAGTTCTCTATTGTAAACTAAAAGGAAGTACATGTATGTAGAATTAACTTCAATATATAATTAATAGAAAAAGATTAAATTCATATTGGAAATTGAGAATTTCAATTATTATTTGTTTCTAATCAGAAGAATAATAAAAATAATCAAACTTCAAATTCATAGAGAATTTTTTAGAGAAATCACACAATTTTCAGAATTAGAATGTAATTGAGTACAAGAATTCTAGAAATAAAAAGGCTTGATGTCTAATTATATATTAAATTAATTATTATAAAAGGGAACAAATATTCTTATTTTGTATTTTTAAAAACAACATCTAAATATGGATCCCGAAGAAAAACAATTAATTGGTTCAATACTTAGTGGTATGTGAATATTATGATAATGTCTTAGATGAAAGCGAAGTGTAAATGTATGAAAGGAAATAGACTCGAAAAAAGAGTAAATTATCACTGAACGCCAAAGAGTTTTAACCTATATTGGTTCAATCCAATGAAAAAATTGAAATTCTTGGAGAAAATCATGGTTATGAAACTCTGACTTACAATTCCACAAACACATAACCTTAAATGTATATATACTCATTTTACATATTAGAATTAACGAAAGACAAAAAGAAAAGAAACCTTCTATTAAAATTTATCATGATTTGAAGTAACTTTAATTCTCCCCTAAAAAACACTAAACTATGTAACCTATTACTCCACCTTAAACTTTCTATTTCACATTTAACAGCCATCCTTCTCTATAAGAAGATAATTAAGTTCAATTATAATTAAGACAAGATGATTATCAATTTAGAAATTGTTTAGTATTTCTTTTCTTTAAATTTTAGGATTAAATATGTGGGAATTAGAATGCATCAAGAAATCTATAAAAGATTTTTGATAATGGTACATTTTTATAAAGAAGTATGATCTTTGAGACTATAGAAAAAAACTTAATTAAGACATCAAAAGATTTATTTGGAAATTATTTGGTTTAAAAAATATTTTTATCAGGTATTTTAATAAAATAATTTATTTAGGTGAAAAATAATGGAAATTAAGTTTATTTCATCTATTCCAAGGTTATTGTGTTGAATTATCTAAAAATCAATATGCTTCTAGAGTGATGAATAGAATGATAGAATTTTTAAAATTTGAGGATCATAATTTATAAATTTAATTTATGGATGAGATAAAATAACATGTTAGATAATTAATTAATGATAACAATGGTTGTTATGTATTATTAAGTTGTTTGGAGAATTTTGATTACAAACTTTGTGAATATATGAAGAAACATATTGAACAATCAGTATATTCTATGTCATAGCATACATATGGATGTAGAATAATTTAATTTATGCTTTAAAAATAATATAGTTAATCATTATTAGACTAAATTATGGATGTATCATAATAACTTTGTATTTGTGAATTTGGTAATTACATAATTTAGTTTATATTGAAGAGTAATTTTAAATAGTAAAAAATGGAACTGTTCAGAATAATTAAGAGTAATTTTTAAACATTATCTTACAACAAATATGGTAGCAATGTAGTTGAAGTTTTTCTTGATGTAATTGAATAAGAAGATATTAAATTTATTACAAATATAATGTTAAATGCTGATTTAGAGAACAAGTAGATTATATTATAATATTTTAGTTATTTATTTGTAGCCTTTGCAACACATCCTTTTGGAAATTATGTTTTTAAGAAATTCTTATAGTTAGATTAATAATATATTATTCCAGTTCTTGGAATAATGAAGAGACACCCTGAAATACTATAATAAATCAATACTTCTGAATATGGATAGAAGATATTCTCTGTTGTAGAAAGATCCATCCAATTTATATGAATAAAATGTTTGTGAATTGTATTAAGTTTGTATTATGCAGTATATTAAAATAAAATGAAATAGTATATATTCCAGTATTAATTTATAAATAATTTCTTTCATATCACATAGAAATCAGTTATATGTTAGTGATTAGATTATATATCATTAATAATTGAGGAGATAAGCAATATAGATTTAGAAATATGTGTAGATTTTGTTGCAAAGAGATTTAATTGCATGAATAAAAATATAAGCAGGTTGAATAAAGACACATAGAAAAAAGGATATTGAATTAAAAGTATTAAGTATTGAAAATGCATCATATAAAATCTTTTTGATAAATTTATATTCATTGAGGAAATAATATTTGATGAATTTGAGAATATATATTTTTAATCTATGAAATAAGAATACATGTTTANGAAATTATTTGGTTTAAAAAATATTTTTATCAGGTATTTTAATAAAATAATTTATTTAGGTGAAAAATAATGGAAATTAAGTTTATTTCATCTATTCCAAGGTTATTGTGTTGAATTATCTAAAAATCAATATGCTTCTAGAGTGATGAATAGAATGATAGAATTTTTAAAATTTGAGGATCATAATTTATAAATTTAATTTATGGATGAGATAAAATAACATGTTAGATAATTAATTAATGATAACAATGGTTGTTATGTATTATTAAGTTGTTTGGAGAATTTTGATTACAAACTTTGTGAATATATGAAGAAACATATTGAACAATCAGTATATTCTATGTCATAGCATACATATGGATGTAGAATAATTTAATTTATGCTTTAAAAATAATATAGTTAATCATTATTAGACTAAATTATGGATGTATCATAATAACTTTGTATTTGTGAATTTGGTAATTACATAATTTAGTTTATATTGAAGAGTAATTTTAAATAGTAAAAAATGGAACTGTTCAGAATAATTAAGAGTAATTTTTAAACATTATCTTACAACAAATATGGTAGCAATGTAGTTGAAGTTTTTCTTGATGTAATTGAATAAGAAGATATTAAATTTATTACAAATATAATGTTAAATGCTGATTTAGAGAACAAGTAGATTATATTATAATATTTTAGTTATTTATTTGTAGCCTTTGCAACACATCCTTTTGGAAATTATGTTTTTAAGAAATTCTTATAGTTAGATTAATAATATATTATTCCAGTTCTTGGAATAATGAAGAGACACCCTGAAATACTATAATAAATCAATACTTCTGAATATGGATAGAAGATATTCTCTGTTGTAGAAAGATCCATCCAATTTATATGAATAAAATGTTTGTGAATTGTATTAAGTTTGTATTATGCAGTATATTAAAATAAAATGAAATAGTATATATTCCAGTATTAATTTATAAATAATTTCTTTCATATCACATAGAAATCAGTTATATGTTAGTGATTAGATTATATATCATTAATAATTGAGGAGATAAGCAATATAGATTTAGAAATATGTGTAGATTTTGTTGCAAAGAGATTTAATTGCATGAATAAAAATATAAGCAGGTTGAATAAAGACACATAGAAAAAAGGATATTGAATTAAAAGTATTAAGTATTGAAAATGCATCATATAAAATCTTTTTGATAAATTTATATTCATTGAGGAAATAATATTTGATGAATTTGAGAATATATATTTTTAATCTATGAAATAAGAATACATGTTTATAGATTATCTACAATTATTCATTAATACTTAAACTTAGATCAAGAAATATTATACTTTGGTTTTATAAAGTAATGAGGGATTTGAAATAATTAAAGTCACATTACTATTTGAAATAAATATGTTTGTTGATAAATAAAAACCTATTAAGTCAATAAAGTGATTATGTGATTATTAAAAGGATTAATAACCAAAAATTGATATCTCTAAGCTCATTTAAAATAAAATAAGAATATATAATTAAAAATGAAGAGTTATTATGTATAAAAAAAATTAATAAATAAATTTGAATATGCATTAGTTCTTAATTGAAATAATTTGTTAAATAAAATAATCAAACTTATTCTACTATCCTAATATAAAAAGGCTTAACCATTCATATTACCTTTACTAAAATAATATTTTTATTATTAATCTCTAAATATTTCTGAAAGTCAACGAATAGTATTTAATTATGAAGAATGTTTATATTTATGCCAATTATAGTAGAATTTTGTTATATTAATGCATGATTTAAATAAGTTTTGTATCAAAAAATAAAAAATTAATATTATAAAGTAAATGAAACCTTGCTAACTTCCAGATGACATAATTTAACATTATTCAAATTATCGTAATAAAAAGAGCAAATTGAAAGTGAGCACAATATTAGGCTCTAGATTTGAGATAGATGATAAATATGAAATCCTAGACAATAGTATAATTTATTGTATTATATGACTAGTTGGTTAAGGAGCATATGGTATAGTTGTAGCAGCTAGAGATAATACATTAGATGCTGAGGATAATTTAGTTGCAATAAAAAAGATTGAAAAAGCTTTCGAACATAAAATATTTACTAAGAGAACTTTAAGAGAATTGCGTCTACTAAGATTATTATAACATGAAAATGTATATATCAATTATATTTAGATTATTGGAATCAATACAATATTACTTCCAAAATCAAGAGAAGAATTCGAAGATATGTATAAATTAAAATGATTTAGTTACGTTGTTCAAGAATTGATGGAAACAGATTTAGCTTAGATCATTAAGTCAGATTAAAATTTAGCAGATGAACATTGTTAATTTTTCCTTTATTAATTATTAAGAGGTCTTAAATACATACATTCTGCAAATGTGGTTCATAGAGATTTAAAACCACGTAATTTATTAGTTAACAGTAATTGCGATCTAAAGATTTGTGATTTTGGTCTAGCAAGAGCTTTAATACCTGATTTAAAAGTAAAATTTACAAATTATATTAACTCTAGGCAAAAGCAGGTGTATTAACTGATTATGTTGCTACTAGATGGTATAGAGCTCCAGAATTACTATTATCATGGAGAAATTATACATAAAGTGTAGATGTTTGGTCTGTTGGTTGTATTTTTGCAGAATTGTTAAGAAGAAAACCATTCTTACCTGGAATGGATACAAAAAATCAAATAGAATTGACATTTGAAGTAATTGGTACTCCATCTGAATAAGAATTGAATATGATTCCTAAAGAAAAATATAGAACTATTGCAAAAGGACTTCCTAAAAGACCAGGAAAGGATTTTAATAAATTATTTCCAAATGCTTCTAATCTTGCTATTGATTTATTGAAAAGCTTACTTACTTTTGATGCTAAAAAAAGAATAACTGTTGAGGATGCTTTAAAACATCCTTATTTATCTGCTTTACATTGTCCTGATGATGAAGTATATGATATATATTATAATACCAGCCTATTGCAGTTCCAGTATAAAGGATAGATTTCGAATTCGAAGAGTATAATATGACACTTCAATAACTTAAAGGTATTATATTAAAATATAATAGATTGTATTTATGAGGAAATATTGGTATATCACTTTAAAGATTTTAAAGATGAATATGAAACTAAAAAGCGAAATTCATCATCCATAATAAATCATATAATAAAAAATGAGAACTCAAAAATAATAGATCCAGATGCTGATGATGATGACAACGATTCTGATGAAGAACCTATTTGATAAATATAATTAAATATATGGCAAAAAAATTATAACCATAACTAGATTTATCTTGGGTAGTTCCAAATGCATTGTGTTGGCAAGATCTTGATAATAAGGACCCTATGTTTTCACCTGCTGAAATAATAAGTTCAGATGGGAAAATAATTATTATCAAGTTAGAATCTGGAGGATAAATTGAATGCAAACCAACACAAATATTGGAAAGAGCAGATCCAACCATATTAGGAAATAAAGGGTTTGATGATATGGTAAATATGGAAATTCTTAATGATGCAGAATTACTAAATAATTTAATATATAGATTTGGGAAGGATATTATATTTACTTATGTAGGTCCTACATTATTAGTCATAAATCCATTTAAATAAATTCATGGTTTAATGGATGTTGATATAAGAAATTAATATATTGATGATATCATTAAAAAGAATCAACTCATCAAAGATTTGCCTCCTCATGTATATGCAATAGCAGCATAAGCTTATAGATAATTATTTGAGAATGAAAAAAATTAAGCAATTGTTATATCAGGTGAAAGTGGAGCAGGAAAAACTGAGAATGCAAAATTTTCTATGAATTTATTAACATCAATTGCATCAGATGGTTCTTCAAAAGATAAAATAGAAGATTAAATTTTAGGATGTAATCCTATATTAGAAGCTTTTGGTAATGCAAAAACTGTGAGGAATAATAATTCATCAAGATTTGGAAAGTATGTTAGGATTATTGTTGACGATAAAACTAGATAAATTAAGGGAGCAGAAATTATTAATTATTTGATGGAGAAGTCAAGAATAAATTAATAAGGTAAAAATGAAAGAAATTTTCATATATTTTATTTCTTTTTACAAGGTCTACCAAAAGAACTTTTAAATAAATTTGGAGTAACCATGAAAATGGAAGAATTTAATTATTTAAATTCTTCAAAAACATATACTATTCCAAATGTTGATGATGCTGAAATGTTCAAAGAAATTTAAGAAAGTTTTTCAATTTTAGGAATGCATTCTGATTTTGAAAATATAGTTTAAACAGTTCTTGCAGTATTACATTTAGGAAATCTTGAGTTTGACAATAGTACTCTAACAGACACATAGCCTGCCTAAGTTAATGAAAGCTTAGTAGAGCGTTTACTTGAATTGTCAAATTAATAACTATCTTAGGCTTTAACTCTTAAATCAAGAGTAATAAACAAATAAACTATATTGTCTCCATTGACACTTGATGAATGTTAATTTACACGAGATTCCTTGGCCAAGGATATTTATGATAGATTATTTAATTGGTTAGTTATTCAATTAAATAAAGTTTTAAAACCTAAAGTAGAGTCTAAGACATCTGTTGGGTTACTTGATATTTATGGTTTTGAAGTTTTTGATAAAAATGGATTTGAATAGATTATGATCAATTATACTAATGAAAAGTTACATCAATTGTATATTCTATATGTTTTCAAAGAAGAGGAGAAAATTTTCATTGAAGAAGGACTCAAGGATCATTTAAGTTAATTAGAATTTTAAGATAATACTTCTGTAATAGAATTAATAGATAAATAACCTGGAGGTATATTTAGTATTTTAGATGAATCGTGTTCTGTAAAATCAACAGATGATGGATTTCTATAAAAAATAAGAACTGTTCATAAATCAAATCCATTAATAAAAACACCTAAAATGCCAAGTGATCCTTCATTTATATTAGTACATACAGCAAAAGATGTTTGTTATACTGTTACAGGATTTCGAGAAAAAAACAAAGATGAAATGAGTGTTTAAACTATATCAATGATAAGTCAAACAAAAAATCCACTTTTAAAATAATTATATACTATGGAAGGAATGAAAGAAAAGATGATATCATAAAAGATAAAAAAAGAAATGATTGAATTAATGACAGAATTGCATTAATGCGATGTTCATTTTATAAGATGCATTAAACCTAATGAAAGTAAATTACCTAATTAAGTATTTTCTGAGATGACTCTTAAATAAATAAGATATCTAGGTGTATTAGATTCATTAAAAGTTAGGAAAGAATCTTATAGTATCAGAAGACCATATTAATTTTTTTATAAAAGATATGCTGATATGACAAGAAATGAAATATATAGTAAATTAATAAAAAATCCAGATATTGATTTTAGACAATTAGTTTTAGATATGTTTAAATAAAATATGCCTCATATTGATTCAAAGTAAGTATTATTTGGAAAGACAAAGATATTTATTCGAAATACAGGATTATAAATGATTGAAGATTCATATACAAAAATTGTGACCCTTAAACATTAAAGAGCAGCAAAGTTGTAAAGATCATATAAAATTTATAAGATGAATAAACATTTGAAAAAGATGATGAAAATTGCAATGACTCTTCGTACTTTAGCATAAAGAATTCGTTTTAAAGTATTCATAAGAAAAAGAGTAAAAGCAGCATTTCTAATTTAAGCTTGGTATAAAAAATTACATGAAAGAAGAATACAATAAAAATATGAAAAATCTGCAATATATTTAAAGTTATATTTTGAAAGATTTAATATACTTAGAGATATTGCAAGAAAGAAATTAGCTATTAATAAAATATAGAAATTTTGTAGACATGTAGTACAATC